TTCGTTTGCAGCCCTACGCACAGCTGACCGACATCTTTACGAAAGCGCTTGGGAAATGTGAATTTGATTTTTTTGCTTGACAAGTTCGGTATTCGGAATCTGCATGCTCTAACTTGAGGAGGGGTGTTAATGTTATTGTGTATTATATTTATATTTACTGTTTTAGCTAGCCTTAAATATTCTTATAGTAATTGTAACCCTAAAACTGTGAATATATATTCTGTTCTTTTTACACCGGTATCATCGATATATGGCCGTCATTTCTCTTGTCTTGTCTTTAGCAAATAAGCCATACAATAGCTATTGACAGTTTTAAAATGGAAATCCACAAACAACATCAACAAGAGAAATTAATTAAGTACCTAAAATTGGATTACCTACCATTGTGTCTACAACTTGAGTTTTGAGTTTCTCTTACCCATAAAACATTTATATACATTATAAAATGTAATTCAAAACAACACCTAGCCATTAAAATGCCACCTCACCTACCCAAGAAATAAGCCGTAAGCATAATTATACGCTTTGGGCCAAGCATAATCAGTGAAGAATATGTGTTTATCTTTGTAAAGAAGAGAACGAGATAAATGTTAATTAGTTGTGTGGGTGTGGCCGCATCATGGCCATGCACGGGAGAGTGCATCATACGCTTTGGGCCATGCCACCTTTGCATCATCATGATGCATGATGATGTCGTTTCTCCTAGCATATAATAATATATATATATATATATATATATATACACAATAGCCAGATCAATAGTAAATTATTCGTTCTACAAACTTTATTATCTTTTTTATTTCCTTTTCAGGTAAGAGATCGATTTAGAAAAATTCAGTTTAATTTACAACCTAATGATTCTTGGTGGCTAAGTGAATGGACGAAATAGAGTGTGTAATGTTACTAGCTGGACGATATCCACCTTTTCTTTTTAACACCAACATTCACGGTTAAGGTCGGGCACATTTTGTTGGAATATAAACGTTGCAGTCTCAACTTCAAAACATAGAATTTCCAAACTACATAGAATTCCAGACGAGTTTTGCAGAAACGAAACAAATACAGCTAAACAGAAATGCTATATATGGAGTCATCGGATGGTTCTCTTATGAAGTCATCCATAACTTTATGTATTGACACGTGTCTAATGTGTATTTATTACAAGACAAGTGTCAATACATCATTTGTGGATAACTATAGATAGCTCCATAAGTCGAGCCATCTAATGACTCCACAGCAAATCCGTACAGCTAAAGTAATGAACACGCCCGTCTTCTTGAGTCTTTTGGGTTCAGCCTCATACTGGTTCTGATCTAGTGCACGTCTTGGGCATCGAAAGGCTTTTTGTCCAGTCCTGCTAGGTATCCTCCTCCATGGTTCCTCTTACATTTAAGTCCATATTTAGTTATTTAGTTTTTTTTTTTTCCCATTAAGGACACATTTTTCATAATGTTTTGTTGGGTTGAAATATGTTATTTCATTTTTTTTATATTAAGATATTATTATGTTAATGAAATAAAAGTACATCACAGAAACTAATAATCTATATATTGGACATTGTTTAGGATTTAAGGTTTATTTATGTTA